TGAGTTCTAGAGAGACAAATTTTTTGCTCAATGTATGGACTCACCCTCCCTAATAGTTAATGCTTTCCAAAGGCAGAATGTTCTGTTTTATAAAGTAATAAAGGCCTGTTGCATTTAAGGACCATCTCTCAAGGCCTCCATTCAACCTGTAGGCCAATGGCTGCAAAGTTCTATCAAGGTTAAAGCAGCAATGCAGGACATGCTGCCCTTTGACAATAAGGTTGGATTCTTTTTTTCCCCTTTTTTAAGTTTTTCAATCACAGTTTACTTTTAATATTATTTTGTATTGCTTTCAGGTACAGAGCATAGTGGTTAGACAAGCACATACTTTACAAAGTGACCCTCCGGATAGTGCCAGTACCCTCCTGGCACCACACACAGTTACCGTAATATTGTTGACTACATTCCCGATGCTGCCCTTTCCATCCCCAGGACTCTATGACAACGACCAGCCTTACTTGTCAGCCCCTTCATCTCTCTCTGCCAGCCCCCAACCCCCTCCCCTCAGACCATCAGTCTGTTTTCTGTGTTTATGAGTCTGTTTCTTATCGGTTTATTCATTTATTTTGTTCTTTAGATTCCATATGTAAGTAAAATAATATGGTATTTGTCTTTCTCTGTCTGACTTATTTTGCTTCGCCTCATACATACTAGGTCCATCCATACTGTCACAAAGGGTAAGATTTCATTCTTTTTTGTTTCCAAAGTAATATTCCTTTGTATATACATACCACAGCTTTTTATCCACTTGTCCATTGATGGGTACTTGGGTTGTTTAGGATGGATTCTTTTTCATAAAATGATATCCCATCAGTATTGTTGGGAAACCATGACTCATGCCGCTATTGAAAGGATGCTGTAGAGTTAAGTCTTATCCTTTTAGTGGGAGGAAATGTGGAATTGTCAGGGCAGCATGCCAAATGGTAAGTTTCTCCATAACCTTCCTAGTGGGTATATGATTTACTCTGGTGGCTTCATCAGATAGCCATTGTCTGTAATGCTAGGGTGCATTTAAAGGAGAGCTAGTGAGACCATAGCACACAGGGACTCCATTGTTCTGGGAATTCATCTCATGAAAAAGTATTTCTACCTCCAAACAGGCTGTACTCCAAAGGCTATTTTATTTTTCCAACTGATGTTTAAAAATGTTTTTTTTATTTATTTCAAAGAGGAAGAGAGAGGGAGAGAAAGATAGAAACATCAATGATGACAGAGTATCACTGATCAGCTGCCTCCTGAACGCCCCCTACTGGGGATGGAGCCTGCAAGCCAGGCATGTGCCCTGATCAGGAATCAAACCCTAACCTCCTGGTTCAACCACTGAGCCACACCTCTCTAAAAACCTCAGGCTTCTAGTCTACCCCAAATCAGAGGTGGAGGAGAAAAAAATGGTTCCTAAGCCACAGTAGGGTTGTACCTCTCCCAACCCCCATATGCACACCCAAGGAGGGAATCCACTTCTGTGCTCTTTCTCCAACTGTAAAAAAAAAAATATAAAAAAATCCCTAACTGGTTTGGCTCAGTGGATAGAGCATCGGCCTGCGGACTGAAAGGTCCCAGGTTCGATTCCAGTCAAGGGCATGTACCTTGGTTGCAGGCACATCCCCAGTAGGAGGTGTGCAGGAGGCAGCTGATCGATGTTTCTCTCTCATCGATGTTTCTAACTCTCTATCCCTCTCCCTTCCTCTCTGTAAAAAAAAAAAAAATCAATAAAATATTTTTATTTTATTTTTTTTAAAAAGGCCATATCACAGCTTTCTCTCCTTCTGCCAGGGCCAGAAGTGCTGATGGCTGACACATAAAGGAGCCCAAAGCTGACAGGTCTTCTCGTTCATTTTGGGGGAAGAAAATAGTTTACTGTTTAAGCCTTAATGATTTTTGATCATTTCTTCTCAGTCCAGCAGCGAGGCACATCTCTGTCTAAAAGCATTATAGATTATACATGTTTATAACACGTAAACCGGAAATAAGAAATGTCAGGTAAATGTTCTTAATCATATTTTTTTAAAGTCTCACTAGTTCTTTCTTTAGAGCCAAAACTGCTTGTTCAGTCAGTTCTCTCATAATCTGTGTTTATTCTTATAGGCTTTATTTAGTCTAAAGCAAAGTTAGAAAATATATACAGCAGTGTTTACATTAATATTATATGAAGAATCTGGTTTATCTACATGCTTAAGTGCCAGGGAATTCAAATTGCTCTCAGAGGGAGAGTGAGAGGGAGAGAAAGAGGGAAAGAGAGAGGGAGGGCGGGCAGGAGGGGAAGGAAGGAAGGAAGGAAGGAAGGAAGGAAGGAAGGAAGGAAGGAAGGAAGGAAGGAAGGAAGGAAGGAAGGAAGGGAAGAAGGAAGGAAGATTGGAGTTGGATCTAAAACCTTCCATTTTTGCTTGCCCCACACCATTAATTCTATCTTAGGCATTTTAGCCCTCAATAAAGTCAAGTAAACTTTTGGTTCAGAGAGCTTGTAGAAACCTACTTGCCATGGGACATAATGAGATGTTAAAACTTCTCATTTCCCATGGCTCTTGTATTTGGTTAGTTATGTTATTGGGATTCTGACTAGTCATAATCAGGAAAGACGCTGGGAGACAAGCAGCAGAATTGATGCAGAAACTGAAGTCAACCGTCCCTTCTGGGTTTTGTTTCTCTTTCTGTGTGGCTAGCAAGTTACTTACACGTTACACTTCAGTTTCCTTATCTATTAAATGAAAAGCAAACAAAAGACCCTGGGGATTTGTGAGGATTACATAGCATAATATGTAAGGCCCCTAGCACAGTGCCTGGCACATTGTCAATGCTCAAAAAACTGCTAGAAAGCAAAGAAAAAAAAGGATTTTCCCAAAGAGCTAATCACTTAAAACAAAATAAAACACCTCCAATTTATCGGCACAGACTCATAGAACTCTACTTCTGGAAGGGACTTTTAGTACCTAGTCTGGTGGCTGTATGTTTGTTTGTTTGTTTTGAAGCCAGTGTTCTTCAAATAGAATATTATAAGGAAGCTGATGAGTCAAAGCAACAAAGTGGAGCTGAGACTGGGCGGGGTGAGGTGGCCACAGCTCCGTCTCTGTCCTTCCTCCACTGGAAGACGCTGATGCGTCTGACACCTCCCAGAGCATAGAGTGAATCCAAAAGCCTGGCCTGCGGCCTGCTCCACCATCTCACCGAAGAGGGAATGGCCTGGAATGTGAGGTTGTCTTTTCAGTGGTACAACCAGAGCGACATTCCTCTCGTTTTCTGGTACAGCCCATGAAAGAGAATAGATGGGCCAAAACATGTGAGAGAGTATTTGACCAAATTCTTACAGAGAAACTTTTAAAAGATCTAGAGCAAGCATGTCAAACTCTCGAGCTTTAGTTCAAAATATGTGAACCTTATTTTTTCTGTGGTAGAGGATAATCTTTTGGGTGGCCCGTTTCCATTTTTATGTTTATCTTTCAACTGTTTCTCATGCCATTTAAGTTTTTCCCTGTGTGGTTCTAGAACCTTCTAGCAGCCTTGATGACAAATGGCAGTTGGGTAGATTTCCGTAAAATTTGAGTAGAAACAACTTCATTTTCTCCTGTACCTTAGCCTTCTGTAGTCCTTCTGATGCTAAAGAAAATCCTATGGTTCCTAAATGTTTTCACATTCTGGGGTATTTTACTTCAACCTAACTAGAGTGTTCTTCCTGGCATATTAGCACAGCACAGGAATATAAACACGAAGCTGACCCAATGGAAGTTTGAAGTCAGTGTATTTTCTTTTTGAGATAAGGCGATGTTTGTACAAACAGCCTTGGACTTTATTTGGATAAGAAAAAAGATATAACACAATTTATGACTGCATGCTATTTCCAAATGTGGCTAATTTCCTGTTGGGTTATTCGTGTGTCTTGCTGTTCTTGTGAAACGCTTTCAGTCTTTTCATTTACTTTCAGAAAAGAACAAAGTTGAGTTGGGGGACAGTGTGGGTTTGGGATTCCTAATCGTCTTGAGAGCTGACCCAGATTCTCCGGCGCATACCTCTGTTTGCACTGCTTACCTGGGCTGCTAACAAGCTGTGCTCATGTCCACTCCCCTGGACTGGAGACTCCATGAGAGCAGGGGCATAGCCTTTAAAGACCTCTGCAAGGTCTCTATACCCAACTCACTCCCTAGGTCAGAGCTGGTGCCAGAAATATTATTGATTGCCCTGGCTGGGTAGTTCCCTTGGTTAGAGCATCGTCCTGATATGCCACCATTGTAGGTTCCATCCCCTGTCAGGGACATACAAGAATCAACCCATGAATGCATAAATAAGTGGAACAACAAATCAATGCTTCTCTCTCTCTCTCTCTCTCTCTCTCTCTCTCTCTCTCTCTCCCTCTCTCAATCTCTAAAATCAATAAATAAAAATAAAAAATAAATATTTATTGACTGATTTTCCAAGAGACTTCATAGATTTTAATAGGTACGTTGATAAACTCCATTATTTTGGATTCCTATACCAAAGGAAAATACATAACATGATAGTATTCTATTGGTTTGAAATATATATATATACACACACACGTGTGTGTGTGTGTGTGTGTGTGTGTGTGTGTGTGTATGAATAAAAGAGTACTATTAGAACAAAGCCAAAAGTCCCTTGTAGGAGTGATAGATTTCAGTTTCTAGGTCAACTGAGCTAGACTGTAGACAAAATGAATTCAATAGCAATACATACAAGAATCCTAACAAATATTTATTGAGCACTTTCTTCGTACCATGCAGTAATGCCTCTTCTAGGCATTTCTCAGATAGTACCCAAATGATTTTTACCACACCACCATGAGAAGGCTAAAGGTAAGCATTATTCCCTCTGAAAAGATGGTTAAACTGAGGCATAATGAGGCAAAGTGGTTTCCCCCCGGTCCTGTCACTCAACACTGGCCTTCTGCATCAGAGACCGGGTCCCTGTCTACAGGCAGCATTGTCTCATGTCTGTAACACAGGGTCTTCCGTTTTCTGTGAAAACAAAGATGTCCTCTTGCTCTCTTTTAGGTTTGTGGATGGCTCCTAGAAGATCTTGATTGGCTCCCGAGGAAATATCGTTTTGCTAGATTGGTTTCCTATCATCCTGTCCCCCCAGTCAACCATGAGCCAGTCAGACCCTGCCGATGACCCGGATCCCAGCCCTGAGCCCCTGTGTGTGGTGTGTGGCCAAGCCCACTCCCCCGAGGAAAACCACTTCTACACCTACACAGAAGATGTGGACGACGACCTCATATGCCACATCTGCCTGCAAGCCTTGCTGGACCCTCTGGACACTCCCTGTGGACACACCTACTGCACTGTCTGCCTCACCAACTTCCTGGTGAGTAAGGACTTCTGCCCCCTGGACCGCCAGCCCCTGGTCCTCCAGCACTGCAAGAAGTCCAGCATCCTGGTCCACAAGCTCCTCAACAAGCTCACGGTGACCTGCCCGTTCGCCGAGCACTGCGCCGAGGTGCTGCAGCGCTGTGATCTGGAGCATCACTTCCAAACCAG